CTGGAAGGAAGGAAGGGTCACCATCAGAGTTAATCGGGGGCAGATACCCCCCTGACCCTACTTCCACTTGACTTTGAATGCGTACACCTGAGATCCTCGAGGGCCTGCGGCAGAACCGGGAACATTCTATTCTCCTTTGAAGACATCTATTCCTGGAACTCAGTTTATTCACTGAGGTGCTTCTATAGATGTTGACTTTGCCTGAATGAAAAATTGCATCACTAATCATCTTTTCTCTTTGATTTCTATTATTTCCGTAAATCCTTCAAAAGCACCCTTAAGAATACTCACATTATTAGCAGAATTTGCATGAGACCATGGAACTACATGGTGATATTGGACCAATGTTAACTTTCTGGTTTTGATGGTTACATGGAGCTTTTGGGGAGACTGTCCTTAAACTGAGAGAATGCACACTGAATGAAGTAATGAAGAATTGTGGGTAATGGGGCATCCAATCAGCAACTTACTCTTAAATGGTTCGGAAATGTTAACAGTTGGGGAATCTGGGTGATGGATGTATGGGAGCTCTGTGTAACTTTTTTTTTTGGTAACTTACGTGTAAATTTGAAATTATTTCAAAACTTTAAAACGTTTTTTAAAAAGAATACTAACATCCGTATCAAGGAACTTTCCGCTCCTGTCAGATCCTAATTCCTTTACTGATTACAGATCAAGGAACAAACAGAAGAATATTGAAGAACAGAACTTGATTGACAATGAGTTTCAAAATCTGAGACTGCAGCAGACGACAGGCTTCAGCAATCCAGGAGCAGACAGGAGCCTCTTCCCGAAAGTCAGGACGAACATCTCCAGAGACGACCAGCTGCAGAACCCTTATGCCAACCAGAGAGGCTCACACAACCCTTATACAAACCGGAGAGGTGCGCCCCGCCCTGACTATTAGGGGAGTCAGTGAGCTTTGTGATGGGCCTTTCTGAGTGGAATGCCCCAGGGCAGAGTAGGGACCTGGCTATTGTATCTTCACCAACCGGGGCTGCCCCCAAAGGCTTTTTTGTTTTCTTTTTTTAAATCAAAAGAGAAAGATCAGAGGAAGCTCCCTGCTATGGTAAATAGCCACCACTTGGGCCCTAACACTGACCATCTCGCTGACTTTAGACACGTCACTTAATTTCTCTGGCCTTCTATTTCTTCAGCTGTAAGAAGAGCAGCTTAATTTAAATGCCCTTACGGTCCCTTTAAATTACAAGTGTCTGTGGACATGACTCCAGTGGTTATGATGACGATTCCCAGGCTGTTTAAGGGCCTAGGATCTAGTCAGGCCTGGGAAGGACTGTTGCATGACAACGTGGTTCTGTGGGGTCCTCTCCAGCCAGCCCATGGAAAGGCAGGTCTCTCCTTTCCTCCCTGCAGACTTCGAGGCACCCTGATCAATTTCTAAAGAGATAAGGCAAGGTAGGCTGGTAGTATTTTATCTCCCTGGGGGCGACTTTCAAGGAGAATAGCCTGTGCTCTTTAGATGTGTATTGATAATCGTAGCCGGCATTGCTTAGTGTGATCCGAATGAAACGCTGGAGGGAGAAAGCCTGTCAGAGGAGACTCTTGCAGGGAAGAGAAACAAGGGACTGAGATGGAAGGAAGGAGAGACGACGAAGGCAGAGGAGAAAGGGGCCAGAGAAGAGAGGGAAAAGAAGGGGGCAAGGAGAGAAATGATTTAAAAAAAAAAGGAAGACTAGGCAGAAAGGGAAAGAAGGTAATGGGCAGGAGTATGCAGAAGAGTAGAAAACTGAAGAGGATGGAAGAGGAGGAGGACACAGGCGGGTGGGGAGGGGCTGAGGAGGGAGGCATGGGCTCCACGCTCTGCACTCTGCGTGCATGTCTCACTTCTGCAGACGGCCCAGGGAGCACGCCGCCCTTTGAGGATCTTAATGCACTTTGAACATTCTGGGAAAACCCGACTTATTTTTATTTTGAAATTCCATGGCTTATTTTGCACATAAAGTTTCCTCCAGTCATGGAAGTCTAAATGTTTAATGTGTGTACAAAGAGATGACTTGCACAGAATGCATCATATTGCTTAGACACAGGGTCTAGCAGCAATAGCCAAAAATGGACACCCTGTGGGAACGCCTGTTGGCATCATCTAAGGTGAACCTTAACCAGCAAACTCGTTAAAAACTTCCTTTCTTCCTTGTCAGTGGAGCCCTTACTTCAAGTGTAACCTTTAAAGAGAGCCCTGTAGTGGTACAATAAGCATGAGATTTAGAGTCAGACAGACCTAGGTTCAAAGCCATGCCCTTCCTGTTACTAGCTGTGTGATCTTAGACAAGTTACTTGACTTCTCTGGGCTTGTTTTCTCATCTACGAAACGGACAAAATGAATCCTACCTTGTAAGACAAAAATCAAATAAGCTAATATATATAAAGAACTTAGCACAATGACAGATTCTGATTTGCATAATAGTATTCAAATAATGTTAATTAAAATAATGTTAATAATTTATGAATCTAAATTTTCGTATATGTCTCTGTTGGAATGCTTCTTTTCTGAGAGTTTTTTTCCCCTCTCTCTTTCTCTCCTTTTGTCTAGAATGGTAGAAATCTTGAACCATCCATGGCCCTCAACCCAATGTAAGCTTTTATTTTGAGTGTTTAAAAGACTGATGGAGAAGTGAGCAGCCATAAAGAACTGGACTTTGGTATGTTTCTTCCACCCAACGTCTAGCCTCTCTGAATGGACTCGTGGCCGTTTGCTATGAATACAGCCTGTTTGCTAACTAAGTACCTGTGAAATTGAATGCACGTAGATGCTATTAGCACTTGCAAGATAGTTGATTTTCTCCAATCAGTACAATGTTTAGGTTTTTTTTTCCTTTCGGGGCAACAACAACCATTTCCAAGCCAGAGGAAAGCACCCCGACGTTGTTCACTGCTGGGAGAACGTTGCTCTTGAATTGATAGCCTGCAGATAAATGACCCAATTCTGGGAGACTCCTACCCTCAGCTGTGGAGGTCCCAGAGGACGGGAGGAGACACTGTCCTTTAAGGTTCTCAAAGTTCATCCTCTGACAAGTTAAAATAGCTGTGCTGCTTCTCTCCCTCAATGTGGGGATTTCATTACTTTGGAACCGCCAGACAGCTTGTGACCTGGCCTCACACCAAGAGGACAGAAAAGACACTTCTCTCAGCTTTTTGGGAGGAGTGACCGGGAGGCTAGGACATTTTTGACGTTTATTAGAAGGCCTGGACCAGAAATGTCCGCTGTGGGCTGCATTCTAGAGTTTTTGAAATGCCAGTAGGTGGGAGAGGCAGGGAGAAAAAATGTGACCAGGAGTAGGAGGAAGAGAGGCAGGAGGGAGCTGTGCTGGGAGGATGAGTCAGGGAGGAGGTACCCAGGATGCACCTTCGTCCTCACAGTGTCCTCCTCAATGAGCAAATGGGCGCTTCCTCCATTCATGCCTTACCCAAGACTCAGAGCCTAGGAAAAGGCCAGAAGACAAAAACGCCAGGAGCAACAGCTTGAAGTCACTTTGAAATTGCAGACATTCTGTCTGGCTGCTGGTGAGAGAGGAGGCTTGTGCTCTGGATCCAGATGTCAGCCTTGTGATGCAGATTCCAGAGGTATTTCCCACCCCCCCCACCCCCCACCCCCCCAGGCCTCTGCCTTGGCTGGTGACAGAAGCTTAGCTGTGGCCACCAACACACACACAGCCAAGAATGGGAGCAGCCACATCCAGCACAGGCTTTCTTTCCTGTTAACAGTGTCCTTGTTTATGTCTCATGTCTGGTCCCCTTGCAAGTTATTTTTATTTGTTATTATTATTTGCTCTTGACTGTTAACTGTGAAAGGTAACAAATAAAGTATCGTTGGTAGATGGTGTCCTTCCTTGCGTTCGGGGTTTTGGTGATGCATGGAGCAGTAAGTCTCACTTTCAACAGCAGCCATGTCACAAGGCAAATTGGATAGATTGACATCCGCTATCCCCATTAGGGGCTGTTGGATTACCCAAGGTAATTTTTTAACAGAGAGTAGATATTTTTGGCTGCTTCTTCATGCACATCCCATTCCGCACCCATTATGAAGCAGCCAATTATTTTGGGTGGGACTGATCTGATCCCCAGCTCCCAGGAGTGGGCCTTGGTTGGCCCAAGCAATCAATGGGATCACAACCCTTCCTTGCCACAAAGATTGACCTAAGAGTGAGCAGGTGGCATAAGTGGATGCAATTAGAATAAAGCCCAGATTTTGGTAGGAGGCTCTGGAAGAGAAACTCTGTTCTGGAGAGTGGGCCTCTGTTCTTGAGGATGGGAGGCCTCAAACTGCTTCAGTTTTGCTGAGCTGACACGTAGAGGAGGGCAGAGCTGAGAGAACCACGGAAAAATGGAGCTGGAGCTCTGATCAGACTACAGCTGAAGCCGCTGAACTTTACTATTAGGCCAGTTTGAGTAGTTGTTTCTGTTTTTGCAACTGAAAGCATCCTCATTGATACTACTTGAGTTCTCAAGGCTAGGTGGTGAATGGGACAAAAGAAGCTCCCTTGTATGAGCCCACAGTAAAGACATTACCATCAACGAAAGAGTGAACCGCTGCAGACAAAACAACACTGTGTAACTTGTCACTGCAGACTTGATTTCTTACCTACATGCTATCTCCTTTACATTTTAAGAAGATTCGAGATTCAGTGTTAGATTTAGGCTATTTGAACCTCTTTTCTAAAGAGTCCCACCTCCCTTGTGCCCCTCTGCACTAGAGCACGCCCACTTCCATTGCTTCTCAAAGGTCCCGGGCCATACAAACTCTGAAAGTCTTCAGAGACTTTCATCGCAGTTGTTTGAAAAAAAATAATGCTCTAGGGGCTGCCCTGACAGCATAATGGTTAAGTGTGCGTGCTCCACTTTGGTGGCGTAGGGTTCGCAGGTTTGGTTCCTGGGCACAGACCTACACACTGCTCGTCAGGCCACGCTGTGGCAGCGTCCCACATATAAAAAATAGAGGAAGATGGGCACAGATGTTAGCTCACGGCCAATCTTCCTCTCACAAAAAAATACAAATAAAACAAAAATGAGGCTCTAAATATGTACCTGTGTAATGTTTATGAAAATGGCTTTTGTGTTCAAAGGTGCTTTTGATTCCTATACTATGCAGCCTGTGAATTCGGTTGTTTCTGCCCTCTGGGACCTTTGCAAAGTTTTCTCACGGATCATCCCGTGAGCTCGGAGGGCTGTCAGAATGATCTTCCTAAGATATGAGCCTGATCATGATCCTTCCTTGCTTAAGGCTTTCAAGGCTTCACCCCTGAGAGAATAAAGCTCCTGGAATCAAGCCAGGCTCCTTGTGGCTCATCACTCCTTGTCATCTGGTCGCGGCCACCAATTGCTCCTGCTTAGCCTTGTGCTCCCCTCCCTCCCACAGTGCACTAATCCTCTGGCCCCACCGGCTGCTCCCTGAACACACCACTTCTTCACACCTCCATCTCTTTGCTCTTGCTCTTCCCTCGACTTGGAACGCCCCTTTCCTTCAGCTGCCAGATAAACACCTCCATCTGTCTACATGAGCTACACCATCATCTGCCCTGACCAGCTGTCCTAACCCTCCGCTCCTCCCTGCAGGACTCTTCAGTACAAGCATCACCTCCGTCACGTCCTGACTCAGTCCTGTAAGCAGTTCCCCCAGAGAAGAGGTTGTGCACGGGGAGTCTTTGTTTCCTTCTCAGCACAATGCCTGGCAGAGGATAAGTATTAAATAATCATGTATAAAATGGAGTCTGAAATGGGACTCTTCAGCTCGACCTTGAAGAGTATGTCCATTATCTTGATGGTGGTGATGGTTTCATGGGTATATCGAAACGTGCCCAGTTGTACACTTCACATATGTACGGCTTATTGCATTTGAGTTATACCTTAATAAAGCTCTTTTATTTTTAAGGGGGGTGCTCTCATGCAGGGGCCTCTCGGACCTTGAGGGAGGCATCCTCTGGTCATGGCCCTAAGACAGGACAGGAACAGAGATGCATCATTCTGCTGCACCTCTACATTAGACTGAAGGTCTCTGGGGTCAGCACTGGGCGAACCAGCTGAGGATGGGTGGCTGCCCTGCCAGCAGCAGGACTCAGTTGCACATCGGAGTCACTGATGAGAGTTAAAAATCACTGATGCCTGGGTCCCATCCCAGAGCGCTTCATTGGTCTAGGGCAGGCCTGAGCATCCAGATTGTGTAAGCTCCTCGGGTGATTTGAATGAACATCGGAGTCTGAGAACCCCTGCTTTAGCTCAGCGGCTTGGCTCCTCATCATCAAGCCCCAGATCACATCATTTCCCATTCCTTCCCCCGAGAGTCTAGAAACCAGGAGTCCATTATGCACAAGAAGCTTCAGTGGGCTCTGAGCCTCTTTTGGAGAAGGAGGTCAGGCGCACAGATGGCATCAACACCAAACAGCCTGAGACTTAAATCTTTTGGGCAGTTTTGCCCCTAAACCATCATGGCTCTCTTAGCCCCCTCCTAACCGCTGGGCAAATTTCATGGCCAGTAGATGGCGCTGTCTCCTATGACTTCCAGACAAACCAACTTCCGGTGGTGGAGCGCTTTTAAAAGGCTTGCTTGAAGTCGTTAACTTTTAACACACCAATTCTAAATAATTTCCTCGACTTTTTCTTGGTCTCTTCAACGCTCGCTCTGGTGGCAGGGAAACATGAATGTTACTCAGCTCCCTCCTGTTGCAATATTTGCATCATTTTTACTGGATCATTAGAGATCATACGTTGTTCCCTTTATTGGTCCTGTAATACCTTAAGTTTTGAAGTAATGTTAGTGTCATATTGATGGTGCAAACAATTAGGTACAATTGTTCAGGTAATCAACGTTTTATTTCCTGGTGACTTTCCAAAATTAGTAGGGAGATAAATCCATTTTCACTGAAAAATTCTTCAGTTAAGATAAAATACAAAATGTCACCAGTGAGAGGTGTCTGTCTTTCATCAGCTTTTATGAGGTGAGCAAGGTCTGGCTGGGTTTTTTGGAGAATGAGGTTGGGGAGAGGCCTGGGGTGCAGTATGGGGGTCTTCTCTCAACCTCTAGGCTGTGAAATGTGGGTTCCTTTATTCAAAGACAGAAGCTTGGGGCAAACCATCAAAGGCTCCATAATTCCCACAGGCCTGGTTTTCTGAGCCCACAATCATGACATATGATCCAATAAAAGAATCCTCTCCTGCTTCTAAACAAAAGAGCCAGTTAGAAAAACAACAATAATAACAGTTAACATACTATGGAGTACTTAACAAATGTCAGGCACAATTCCTAGTGCTTTACGTATATTAACCCCTTTAATTCTCATGATAATTATGAAGTAGGGACTATTACCCTTGTTCAATAGTTGGGGAAATAGAGGAAAGAAACTTGCCTAAAGTCACATGGGTAGTAACTGGCACAGCCCAGATTTGAACCCAGGCAGTCCAACTCCAGAGCTTACCTCTCTGTCATTTAATGACAAAATATTCATATATGTACACTATTTCAACCGTCAGTAGGAACAATGAGTCATATATTTGAAACTGAGGGGCCAGCCCCATGGCCAAGTGGTTAAGTTCATGTGCTCCCTTGTGGCGGCCCAGGGTTTCACGGGTTCGAATCCTGGGCGCGGACATGACACCACTGATCAGGCCATGCTGAGGTGGAGTCCCACATGCCACAACTAAAAGGACCCACAACTGAAAATACACAACTATGTACCTGGGGGCTTTGGGGAGAAAAAGGAAAAATAAAATCTTTAAAAGAAAAAAAGAAACTGAGTGTCTCATATTTATTAGGCATGGTTGCCAGATACAAATAGAGCTTCCTGCAGCTTATAGGTTAATGCTAAAAATGAAAATTTGTGTCCTTATGCAGTTGTCTAAACTTCAGAAAGTATTCTTTCCATTAAAGTGATTCATCTAAAATCATCTGCAAAATGCCCACTGCCTATCACTCATTACCCAGGTATGGCTTCCCTCTTTGGGGGGCCGTCTGACTTCTCTCTCTCTAATGCAAATGCTCTCCGTTCTCTGACCAGCTGTGGTATCCTGCCCTTATGTGGTGATGGAGGAATCTTTGAAGCTTCTCTCCTTTTGCTGGAAACAATAACCTCCTGACTGGGTCCAGGCCAGAAATGAATCCCCCGCTGGACTGATATTGAACGCCCTAATCCCTCCTTTGTACCATCTTTATCAGCCAGCCCCTTCTCTGCACCTGAGCTTCTGGAGGGAAACCTTCTGCCTTATTCTCTGGGATGTAGAAGGTCCTCAACAAAATTTATTGAATGAGACAATGAAGACCCTATTTCAATGAATTAACATCCTAGAGCAAAGAACGTTCTAGAATATGGAAGCAAATCAATAGAATTAGGGCAAAGCAAGAGGAGAAGTTCAGATTAGGCTGTAACAGAAAGCATCTCCTAGCCCGCCTTGACTAAGGATCTTTACCATTTTCTTAGGAGAATTAACTTGTACAATACTCTCTAAACACTTCATATTCTCTTCCCATAGTATGGCATCTGTCATTTTTAACTACTCTTTTAAAATTTTCTGTTGTTATTATTCTAAGTCTCAAGTTTTTGAAAAAACACACCTCAAAGTGTCAATACCAATAGACATTTGGACAATGGACCTCACCTGAATATTATAATCCAGAGACATCTATTCTTGTTCCTGGGTGCTCCTGCTGAGCTCCCTTCTCTCCTCTAAGTGGTGATCCAGGCTCCTCCCTGTCATGGCTCTGTCCTTTTAAACGTAGCTCTCAAGGTCATGCTGTGCTCATCTGCATCAATCTAGAGGAAAATGAAACAGCGTGGAGGATCACGCAAGAGAGATTTTTATGGGGCAGGTCTGGTGTTAATACACCTCATTTCTTCCCACATCACATTGGCTTAGAAGGCAGTTACATCGCCACGCCCAACACACTAAGGGAGGCAGAGAAATAAAGCAGAGCCACACATGCAGGAAGACAAGGAAATAGGTGCTTTGTGAACTGCTATCCAGTCTCTGTTCCTCTTCCTGCCTTCACCTTACATTGTCTCATCCTTCAAGACTCAGCATAAACATCGCTATTCGATCTCTAATCCTAGAACAGTATCTGACACATGGTATACATTTATTAAATATTTGTTAAATAAATGAATCATTCTACAAACACTTTTAAGAGCCCACTCTGAGGGAGCTGAGAATTAAGTCAGAGAGACAGTAATGACCTAAGCAAGTGACTTCAACTTCAACACTTCTAGTGGAGGGGAGGACCAAGCCCTTTGAGACCACAGAGGAAAACATTCCACGAATGTCAGTTCTGGTATCAATAACAGCTTTAGCTGGATATCAAAGGACAAATCAGAGTTAACTGGTCAGAAAAGATCAGGAATAGCACCTTTTATGGAGAAGAAATACAATGTTCAAAGGTGAGAATGTGCTTGTGAGGATGTGAGCAGGAGCCAGGCTGAAACGGTGGATTGGGGCCAGGCTGTGAAGGGCCTTGTGTGTTGCATAATCATCTAACTCCTGGTCTGCTGATCTTTCAATTATACCAAGTATGTGTCATGCCTGCTTTTGCTAAAGAGAAGGCTGAACAACTGTAATTAGTAAGTTGTTTACTCAAGTCCTGTCTTCTGGTGTAGATAATTTGCAGATTCCCTCCATGGTCTCTTTGGAAGAAGGGAGTCCAGCTAGCTCAAGTTATAGCTTGTGAGCATCCTGCCTTGGGTCTGGCTTGGCTCTGTCCTTTAGCTGCACTTGGAAAACAGTGATCTGGGTCACCTAGTTTGGGAGCCATAAACTCCCACAGCTAACTTCATTTTGATCTATTGATCTAAGGGTAAAAGGCTCTGTGTTTACTGTCAATGAAGATTTGACCATGGTTGGGGGACAAATGCTCTAAGCACAGCTATAAAGCATGGAGCCCAATGTAATGAAAGGCCTGCTGTGACCCTGGAGGGGCCACTTGTATAATAAGCCTTAGAAGACTAGTGGGTCAAAGCTGTTGCTCTAAGAAATCACTTGGGTACACCTCTCAATTTAGGAAGTACAGGGCAGATTCAATTAATATTTATTGAATGCCTACAATGTGCCAAGAATTTTCAGATGTATTTGCTAATATAACCTGAAAATAAATATTTTCTGAAATAATCACACATAAGACCAACTATTAGATGGTATTTCACTGTAGAAAATATTAAGTTATTATGTTTCTTTTAAATACACTCAAAGGGATCTGGCCCAGTAGTACAATGGTTAAGTGCGCACGTTCTGCTTCAGCGGCCCGGGGTTCACCAGTTCAGATCCCAGGTGCGGACACGGCACTGCTTGGCAAGCCATGCTGTGGCAGGCATCCCACATATAAAGTAGAGGAAGATGGGCATGGATGTTAGCTCAGGGCCAGTCTTCCTCAAAAAATAAATAAATACACTCAAAGTATGTTAAGACTATGTCACAGTCACACTGAAGATCAGAAATTCCATTCACAATGAGGCAGCTGTGATATAATAGAAAGAACAGTGGACCTCAGAGTCAGGAGATCTTGGCTCTGTCATTTGCTGTCACTTCTCCAAGCCCCAGTGTCCCAACGGGGAGAATAAGTTATGTTTTACAGTGTTGCTTTGTATGAACTGTAAATACCTGGCTGGGCACCATCCTTTGGGCTTCTCTGTGTGGTGACTTTTTGAACTGTGCTTGTGTTTTGTGAGGAAGCTTAAAACTACATCCACGGAGTTATTACCAAATACAGTCACGTGCCACATAGCGAAGTTTGGGTCAATGGCGGACTGCATATAGAAAGGTGGTCCCATGAGTACCATTTAGCCTAGGTGTGTAGTAGGTCATACCATCTAGGTTTGTGTAAGTACACTCTATGAGGTTTGCACAACAGAGTTGCCTAATGACTCATGGCTCAGAACGTATCCCCATCGTTAAGCGATGAAGGACCATATAATGACTTCTAAGCCAGGGAGGCTCCACACCTGTGCAACATGGATCTTATCTCCTTGCACCTGAGCTGACTGCTCTGCTAGACTGAGAATAGAGCTCCTGCGGGAGGAACTCTTGATGCTTCCCTGATGCCCAGCAGCAGCTCCTCCCTACATCTTGCTTGATTTGACTAAATCCACGTGTGGCCTTTAGAAGGTTCGTGAGTCTGAGCGTATAGTTGAAACTAGGAGGAACCTCTGTTGGGCACCTCAGGCATCGTGTTTTATTTTACGGTCTCTGAAATGTTGGAGGGGGCAGTGACCTATCTCCCTTGAAGCCGGTGGAAGAGGAAACTATCAAAGAAGGACCTTGGGTTACACGGAATGAAGAATTTGCTGTGGTTGATGATTAAATAACTGGAGTGGAGTAGCTAGGGAGCTAATCATTTAAAGAGGAGAGGTGATCATTTTCAGAGTCCACTCTCAAGACAGGCCAGCACAGTCTTCTCACATAGAGAACATGTTCAAACAGGCATTACATCCTGTTAAAGGGCAGTGGTTTTTTGAAGGACAATTTTTAGTTGGTAGGACAGGTTATGTAAACCAGAGCCTGCTGCCAAGTGCCAAACACAGTTGACTTCACAAGTAGTAATTACAGAGCCAGCTCTGGCGTGGACCAGATCCTTGGCTTTCCAAGTGAGCAAACTCGGGTCCAGAGAGAAGCAGGTAGTTGTGCGGTTGCTCAGCTAGTGGATGGCACTGAGGACCGGAACTCAGCTCTGATTCTGAGCCCAGATTTCTAGTTTTCCTCCACTAGCAACTGAAGAGGAAGAGCTACATTCTACAAAAGGGGCAGCAGCCCCTGCACACAGGCCAAAGTTGGCTCCCAGACTGATGACTGATAGCTTCCGGCAGGGCTGATGGCCCTGGGCTTCTTGCAGACCTGGTCCTCGAGCAGCTGCTCAACCTCAAACCCCTACCTCACCCCCAAACCTGGCCCCCAGGAAGGGGGAGGGATCAGAGGCTCGTCCCACCTTTCGAATAGATGCTAAACTCCTAGCTAAGCATTGTCTTAAGGACCACTGCTAGACCTAAGACAAGGCAGAGAAGAGAGGCAAGAAGGAAGTGGAGGGTAGAAAGTTAGGAATGGAGTATAGGTGACAAGGATGATGAAAAGAAAGCGATACTCAAGTGGGAGGGGCAGAATGTGCCTCAGCTTCTAAGAGCATTCCCCTTACCGGCATCTTCCTTCTGGTCTTCAGATACCTCTGTCCTTCCCTGCGCTGGAGGTGTTCACTGCCTTCTGTCCCATCCCCCCATCTGTGGCATTTCTCCTCAGGCCACATCGGCATGGACCACACCTGTTCTGGGTCTCTTCCCTATGCCTGACAAAATCTTTTTCCTGACACTTGCTCTAGAAGTCTCTAGACATGGTTGATTTAAAGTGTATGTGTGTGTACTTGTATTCATTCATTGTACTTTTTACTGAAATAATTGGAAAAGAATCCATGCCCTTTACGTGGTGTGAGATACCTTCTAGGGAAAGAGAAACAAACTGTGATGACTGCTGAAGTGGAAAAGGGGCTTTTAGATAAAGACTCCAGCAGTCTCCTCCGAGTCTAAGCCTTACGGACCATTTTCTTTTTTATTATTTCTTTATTTAAAGATTGGCACCTGAGCTAACATCTGTTGCCAATCTTTTTCTTCTTCTTCTTCTCCCCAAATCCCTCCAGTACATAGTTGCATATTCTAGTTGCAGGTCCTTCTAGTTGTGCTATGTGGGACGCTGCCTCAGCATGCCTTGAGGAGCAGTGCCATGTCCACCCTTGGGATCCAAACCCATGAAACCCTGGGCCGCCGAAGCAGAGCACACGAACTCAATCACTCAGCCACGGGGCTGACCCTCTCTACAAACCATTTTAAAGAAAAGTTCTAAAAAGAAAAGAAACACATCAAAATTAATTGAAAAAAATCGCCTTTACTGTAATTTTATTAATGGATATTGTTTTAAAATATTTCAGTTCACGAAAGCCAGAAAACATACATTCTCTATGGAATATATAATCTTAAAAATATTTCCAAAAGTAGGGCTGGCCCCGTGGCCGAGTGGTTAAGTTCGCGCACTCCGCTGCAGGTGGCCCAGTGTCTCGTTGGTTCCAGTCCTGGGCGCAGATGTGGCACTGTTCATCGGGCCACGCTGGGGCAGCGTCCCACATGCCACAAGTAGAAGGACGCACAACGAAGAATATACAACTATGTACCGGGGGGGGGGGGCATTGGGGAGAAAAAGTAAAAAAATAAAACCTTTAAAAAAAAAATTTCCAAAAGTAATCATTGAAAAATTGCCCAGAAAGATATAATTAATGAGCATTTTCAGAATTGATAATTATATGAACAGAGAGGTTGAAAACACACAACTTATTTACCAAGGGTGTGCTAGCTACTCCATAAATAAGTTTAAAATGATTGTACGTGCTTCTTAAGGGCTTCAGAGAAGTATGACATTCCTATGACTTACAGCTACCTTTGTACCTTAAAAGCAACAACAAACAGAAACACCTTTTCCTATTATTGCAGATTTCTGTCAAGACCTGTTTTGTATTCCATCTCTCAATGGGAAATTCCACCCACCTCAGGCTTGGCATAATCACAGTGTGCATGCTTAACTCAAAAATAAACGAAAATCAGTGAGGGATCTATTCTATGCTAGTTAACGTAATAGGCTATTTTCATCAAAATGGAACCTGGTGTGCTCACTGTGACTTGTCATCTGCCCATCTCCTGTGTTCACCATGATCTGGATGTTTCTCTGGGTCTGTGCTTGGCAGTCCTGTATTGGCTGTAAACTCTGAGAGCTGGCATGGGAATTATTTTTTCTTAACCAGGACCATGGTGCATGGGGGGAGAAAAACCTATAAAGAACATTTTCCTATAAAAAGGAATGTAGTTTGGTATTTTTAAAATAAAAGCTAATATCAACATTAAAGAAAATTTTATACATGTTTCGTAGCCCTATCAGTTGTGGCAAAAGAATTTTGTAATATTCTGTCAGCAGGGTCATTCACATGTTACACCACGACAAATGCCAGACATAACGTTTAAAAGCACAGTAAATTAAGCATATTACCTAAACTAAGGGGAATACTGTGAGGTTGTTATCTTTTTCTTCCCTTGAACTTTTTTCCCTGCATAATAAATTGCAACCATGTATCAGTAAAACGTTTTTGACCTGGATTATAAATTGAATTGCACAATATGACAACTCATTTTGGAAGTCAGTTAGCACGTAAATCTGAATGGTCAAATAGAAAAGTTTTTTTTTTTTTTAGAAAGATTAGCCCTGAGCTAACATCTGCTGCCAATCCTCCTCTTTTTGCTGAGGAAGGCTGGCTCTGAGCTAACATCCATGCCCATCTTCCTCTACCTTATATGTGGGACACCTGCCACAGCACGGCCTGCCAAGCAGTGCCATGTCTGCACCCAGGATCCGAACTGATGACCTCGGGCCACCAAAGTGGAATGTGCAAACTTAACTGCCGCGCCACTGGGCCGGCCCCTGGAAAAGTTTTAACTAATCTGATTTTTAAGTGTTTTTAAAAAAATTATGGTAAAATATACATAACATAAAATTTACCACAACCATTTTTAAGTGTACAGTTTAGTGGCATTAAGTAGACTCATAATGTTGTGCAATCCATTTCCAGAACTCTTCCATTATCCTAAACTGAAACTCTGTATGCCCTCAACAGAAACTCCCCAGTCTGCCCTCTCTCCAGCCCCTGGTAACCTCTATTCTACTTTCTGACTCCATGAACTCGACTATTCCAGGTACCTCATATAAGTAGAATCATACAATATTTATCCTTTTGTGCCTGGCTTATTTTAGTTAGCATAATGTTTTCAAGGTTCATCCATATTGTAGCTGTGGGGGATCAGAATTGGCCACCCTAAAATGTGTCTCTTTGTCATAAGGGTTATTTTGGGCTGGTTACTTTAAAAAACTGCAGATATGGGAAAAGCTCTGAAAACCAAGTAGAAGTAGAAGTTAACCCTTTGTAAGAGGCATTTACATTTGTAAGGGAAATCTCCATCTGTAAGGATGTCTCCCTCTCTGTACCAGGAAGAGGGGGGATGACATTATCTCTAGAAACTCTTATCAATGCGGAAGGCAAGGACTTAAATCTGAATAATACACCTACTCTTGTTGACTGTGCTTTTCTGGTACTCTCCCATAACTGACCCCACCCCCACCCC